TAAGAGAAGCTGCAGGATCAAGCTGGTGCTCTGGCATGTGGATTTACATGGCCACAGCCCCACATGTCAGACCTGATGCATTCGTTGCTTTGCCTTTCCCCAAACCCTTTTTGCCAGGCTATGAAAGACCTGCAGGGAAGGAAGCATGTACAGAATCGATGGACCCGATACACAGAGATACCACAAAGGCTATGCTTTTATATGGGGTGAAGAGGATGATGACAGAATTATGGCTCAAAGGTATTCGTTATAGTGTCTGCTACACCAAAAATGCTTGCACGCCACCAGCAAACCTCCCTGCTCTGCTTAACCCCCATGCCCATTAAGTGAAAAAACATTATTATTCTCAGACTTGCATCTGCGGTAACAAATGTTAAAAGTTCTCTTTAAACACATATGCTGGAAAGAGTATATTTAAAAGTGTGCAATACTACAAGTCGTATTATCATTATGCAACTAGAAAGCAGCCTTTCCCCATTTCTGTCTAGTCATTCACGTTGAATATAAATTAGCTTCTGAATTAAATTAAAATTTTGCAGCACTTCCACTTTTTTATCTGCTTTATTTTAAAATCTTAACAGCAATTCATTGTTTCTGTGAAGGGAGCAAAGTGTTTTTTGCACATAGCCAAAATAGTTTGTCATTATCTGAGGCTAAACTAGAACTTAAATATGGTTCTCTGAAGCATTCAGAGACCAGCCTGGGTAGGACTTCGAGCATGAATGCGAATCCTCTACTTAAACATAATGAAACACGGCGCTCATTGAAGCACTTGAACTGAAGTTGAAGGAAACTACTGGTGCCTGGAACTGGAGAGGGAGGCCAACTCTCTTATATCAGTGCAGGCACTTAAATGTGTGATTAACGGGCTTATCTGTAGGCATCAACATATGAAATCATAAACATAGTGACACTAAGCTTTTGTACTGTATTAACATCCAACAAGATCCAATACAAGATGAAAATTTCAAATGATTCAATGCATTTTTAGAAGCTTAAATCCCATTTTCAAAAGCTATTCAGAGACCTAGGTGCAACAGTTTTACTGGGAAAAAACACCAATAGGACTGAGAAGCCAAAGATACCATACTTTTGAAAGCAAGATCATTGGTACTTTTGCAAGAACGCACAATGAGGTTTTTGCAGGGGGCCTGGCTAGAGCGCTCAAATTTCAGAAGGAATCAGGACAGCCTTTCAATAATCAGTACATCAGAGTGGGCTGAGCCAATTCAATTTCCAGCCTGGCTATTTCAGTGAACTATTTAACAATTTATAATTTTCTTCTGGGACTTTATCTTAACTGCAGATT